CCATGACGCAAAGGAGGAGGAGATTAAGGACTTTTTCTCCAAGTATGGTGATGTTGAGGACGTCATCATCCAGTACGACCGCATTTCAGGCCGTCCGCGCGGCTTTGGCTTTGTTGTGTTTGAGAATGACGCAACCGTGGACCAGCTCGTCACGTCCTCCGAACGCGTTTACGTCGAATTCAAGGGCAAGCGGGTACGAGCACACGCCGTGTTTGTTTGGTGTGCTTTGCTTTGTTCGGCTACGTTTTGCTATTTGCTTGTTTGTCTGTGGGGTTGTGCCTGTGTCTTGCTTGCTTGGTTCAGTGGGCCTTGCCGCTGTTTGTTTGTTCGGTAACCTCTTGCTGCATTTCGTCGCGCGGTGCTGTGCATCTGTGGAATGGCCCACCATGGTCAGCTTACCTTTTTTGCCTGCAGGCAATGTTCAGTTTTACTTTTGCAACAGCACAGCTCTCACCGTCTTCGAACCACCCATCACACCTTTCCCGAACACAACCGCACACAAACAAACAAACAAACAAACAAACAAACAAACACCCCACGCATGCCTCAGGTTGAGATCAAGCGGGCGTTCCCAAAGGAGTCGGCACCCCGGTCCTCCACCGCCCGCCAATACCAGCAGCAGTTCACATACCGAAGAGCTGGTCCGTCTTTGCGTGTGGTGTGTCTGTGCCTGTGCCTGTGTGTTTGCATGGGCATCTGTGCCTGCAGCACACCTGCCCCCCTCCTCTCACGCATGTACACGCATGATGCCTTGCCTGTTCCAACTCGCGTTGCTGTCCACAGGCGAGGCATACGTGCCCACTGCGCCGATGGTGCGGCCAAACTACCGCCAGCCGCTCACGCCGTTCCCGCAACCGCCTTACCCGGCCGCCCAGCAGATGATGCAGCGCTATTACCGTGCGTTATCACTCGCCACCCGCAAAGAAGAACGCGTGTGAATGTCCATCGGTTTTCATGTCGTGTGTTATTTGCTTTGCTTGTTTTTGTTTTGCTTTGCTTTGCTTTGCTTGTTTCTTGATTCTCTTTTCCTCACACCTAGCCTTTGCACCGTTTCTGCCACATCTGCGATGGCTGCTGCCGCCATCATGACACAGCCTCTCCATATTATCCGCAATTCTCCCCATATGCTGCCCGCCCCTCATTTGACCAGTTCCCCGTGCAGCAGCAGCAGGTGCAGCAGCCACAACAGCAGCAGCAATTCTACGACCCAACAATGGGCCAGCCAGGTGCGTCTGCACAACGGTTTCTGTGTGTGTGCACGTGCGTGCGTGTGTGTGCCTGTGCGTTTGTGTGTGTCTGTGTGCTTGTCCACATCTGTGTGTGCTTGGACTTGTACCTCTCTGTACGTGTGTTTGTTTGGTTTCATGCCCCTTCTCACGTTTCTTCTTGCTCTCGCCTGTCGTCGCCACGTCGCCGATTCCCCCCTCCCCTCTTCAACTTAGTAGGTATGGAGATGATGCCTGATGATGGGATGCAGCCTGCCCAGGTGCAGTTTCCTACCGCGTACGACCCCACGGCACCTGTCGCCTACATGGCGCCAACGATGCCCATGATGGCGCAGACAACCGCACACACGCAGCCGAGTCACATGGCCGTGCCCATGCAGCAGGCGCCCCCACAGCTCGCGCCGCACCCGCAGGGCGGTGTCATGCCCTCCATGCAGCATCAGCAGCACTTCCCGTACTCTTGAAACAGCACCAACCCTGCACCAAGAATACACGCCTTTTGCCCCCCCCCCCCTCTCTCTCTTGGGCAACACAATGCACCACGCCCATGGCTACCTTCGCTATCTTCACTGCCATGAACAATCGCCACGTCCTTCAGACCTTCCTTGTTTTGAACAGCACCGACATCATATCTTCAGTCAGCAGCACCAGTTATCACCATGTCCAGCCTGTCCAGCCAGCCTCTCGCCGTGAAGGCCCCCCACCAAGCATGTTCTTCATCGTCATTATCACCACCACCGTGTTGTTTCACAACCACAGCAACCTCAGTTCACTACCACCGCTACCACCGCTACCACCACTACCGTTGCTGCGAGGACACTCATCACCTGCACAGCGTACACAACGTCAACAGCGTCAACGTCAATATGACCATCGCCCCAGCATGGTCCTCCCTGCTCCTACTTCCCCCCCCCACCAAATGGCTCCATTGCCCTTCCAGAACCGCGCACGCAGAGAGTTATAATTGTTACGTGAATGCATGGCCAAGACTACACCGACTTACAGCCTCAGGATCATTGTTCCCCAGCAGCAGCTCTGGGTTTCTGTGTTACGTTGTTCTTTCACATGCCCCTGCCCCCTTTCCTTTTCTTTGTTTTCCACCTTGATCGCAAGTTACACGTGCAACTGTCACAGGCGTGCTTTGTGCATATGCACACGCAGCACATGTCCACAACCCCTTCCGTGGTTTTTATTTTGCTGTGTGTCTCCTTTGCTGTGTGATCTGCTTGCGTTTGGGTTTTGCGTTGTCTCAGTTTCATATTGTTGTCTCAGTTTCATAAGCGTCTCTTCGTTCCTCTGGGCTTGCTGGCACATGTGCTTGCAAGCAAGTGATGATGGTGTGTCTAGCACGTGCTGTGCTCGCTGTAACAGCCTTCCGTCCTTTCTCTCTTGGTTGTCGCCTTGCCCTTGCTGCTTTCTTTTCGCTTGGTTTGTGCTACCGTTCGCTGTAATTGCACTTTATTAACTAAAGTGCTTTCCTCGTGCTTCTCTTCCTATCCTCCACCAGGGAGGGCCTTTCTTACTTCCACTTGCTTCATTTCGCCTTGTTGTTTGTTGTTGTATGAACCCACTGTGGGCCATTCTTGCAACAACGCCCCTTCCAACCACACACACACACACATACACACACACACACGTGGTCGCTGTGTCTCTCTTGCCTGTTGGTGTGTCTTTGTTGTCTGTTGATGTGTTTCTGTCGCTGTTATCCCTGCGCCATCACTGCGCGTTCACCATCATACGATCACTCCATCATGCTGACGCAGTGCGCACAATTCTGCCATTTGTGTGCATTCATACTTGCGTCAGTCTTTGCTCTTCATCGCTCGCCACTCTCTCCTGGATTTGCCGTTTTGCTTTGTACACTCTCAGCCTGCACAGGTTTGCTGCTCTTCTAATGTGAATAGCAGGGTATGTGTGTGTGCATACCGTCACACGACTCCTTTGTGTGAACTGTGTATGCTCACTTGGCTTGTCGTTTCCGATACGAGTACAACAGCAGGAGTGCCTGAATCACCTGTGCAAGGGGAGGCGGTTTGTGTGTGTCTGTGAGTGAGTGCGTGTGTGTGTGTCTGTCTGTCTGTCTGTCTGTCTGTGTCTGTGTCTGTGTCTGTGTATGAAACGAACAGAGCGATAGTGATGTAACATTCCGAACGCAGAACCATGCATGATACAATACCTCGATGCATATGCCTTCGTTTCCTCTCCTTGAGTTCAACAAACATCATGGATCAGCCATGTTGAGAGACGACCAGGTTCAGAGGTTCATCACTATTAATTGTTGGTGGGTGAAAGTGTCAAAAGGAACATGAATACAAACACCACCCAACACAAACCACCAGCACCATGTCACATCACCCGTCTTTCAAGTGGGCTCATCAATTGAGTTTTCGTGATGGTGAGCAGTGTTGTTCACATCAACAACGACAAACGCTCGTGTGAATGAAGCAGAGGATTAGGCGGATCCTGTACTTTCGTCCTGTTGGACGCGGCGACTCATGTGCTTGAAGAGAGAGATAAAAGATTTGTTCGGCTGGCAGAGAGCATTGTTTGGTCAAAAATGTAACCATGTTTGCATTCACACCACATGATGGGGTATTGTTGATTGTTGGTTCATGTTGTATTTACATTAATCAAGCCACTTTTGTCGGGGCTCGCCTTGCTAGTTATCGCGACCTTGTTAATGTCAGTTCACATGTAACACACCTGCAATGACAGAAACACGCAGTACCAGTTTGCTTCGTATGTAACTCTTTGCAGCATTGCGTGGCGTGGGCCACCTACTGTCATTGTCTTGAACTGACACGTGTTTGCTCGTGTGCGGACGGTTGACCTTTCAAGCTTGCCTGCCTATACTGCCCTCCCCGAGTGTTGCCGTCATGCTCTGATGCACATAAGTGGCGTGTACACATGAACGACGTATCGACACGGCTCTGGTTCGTCCACAGTCACCTACGTGTGTGATGTGTTGTGTGCGTGCGTGCGTGCGTGTGTGTAAGTGAATGCGTGACAAACAAGGGACAACGATGACGCCAGCGTGCGCAGTGTGTGTCATTGTGGCTAGCATTGACCCTGCCTCCTCTTTCTCTTGTCGAGGCCAGCACGACGTGATGGCATCAGCGCAGCCAGACAAGATCATGTCATGGGCAGTCATCGTACCGCTGCAGCGCGGATTCTGGGGCCGTCTTTGCACATGTACACGACGCGCGCCGTGCGGTGGCGATGGCCGGCAGCACACCAGTCTCCCGCAGCAAGCTCATCCACAGCAGTCTCGCTGGTGAAGAACAGGGGTGGATGAGGGACAGCATGAGTGGTCGCATGGGCATGCGTGTGCTCGTGGCAGGCAGTGGCACGACTGCGATGTAATGCAATGCCATATGGCCAACCTGCACGCATGTCGCCAACTCACCCCGGTGGCACGTCTCCTTTGATGGGGCGCCCAGCAGCGCGATCCACGCCAGACAGTGTCAATGGCGATTCAACGACTGACGCAATATCCCTGGCGGTGATGGGTTTGGATGGATGAGTGTGAAAGAAAGACAACAAAGATACGCCAGTTACGAGATGAGTTGACATACACAGCGACACCCACCCACCAACACACCCACCCACACACCCACCCACACACCCACCAACACACCCACACACCAACACATACACACCCACATACATCACAAACACCACGCACATTGCGCCATTCATTCCCACCTGACGCCAAGCACGTGCTCCTGCGTGCGTGTGTTACCGTCCTGGTGGAACTGCACAGCGCTTCGGCCA